GTGTGTGAAATGGAACCAGTTGTCATTGGACGTGGGGTTGAAATGTGATCACATGTGGGAAAAGGCCAAGTTCACAGTGGATACAGCCATTCCCTAGATGCAGAAGTCACAGAGCACCTGGATCTCGGGCTGGGGGCTCTCCTGGGGCAATAGAGGAAACACCTCAACGATTTCACGTTGTAAAGTTAAGGGCCCAGATTCTAGACTCACAAGGTGCTGGATATGGGCCATGGTTCCACTACCTATCAGCTGATGTCCTCACCTGCAAAACAGGACAACAGTCTTGGTTTTATGTGGTTGTTAAGGAGAAATATGATTGTGGCATATAAATCCCACTGCCCTCAGATGGCCTCTGTCTGCTGGAGTAGAATTGTCCCACATGGTTTCCAAGGCTATAAGTTTTTTGGGTTTTGTTTCTTTTTTCCAGAGTCCTATTGCTAGCTGTTAAAAGAATTGCCTGTAGGGGACTGGGACCCCAGGTTTACCAGAGTTCAGTGCTCTTGCAGTGCAGCTTAACACACAACCCACATCTCTCGCTCCACCCGCCACAGGCAGGTGCTGGAGGGGCAGGGTGCCTCAAAGGCAGCGTTGGTGTTTAGTCGTGTGTGTGTTGACGTTTTTATTTATTTTTTTTAATTTTAATTGAGATTTTTAACAAAAGTTTACAGATAATTGGGATTTCCATTCATTCACTGTTGTTTGGGTTTTTGTGTTGTTTTTTTTTAAGTAAAGATAGATTTATTAGGATAGGTACGTCCCTAAAGGGACAAATCTTTCTCCCCAGAAGGGAAGCAATGGAGGCGGCCTCCAAGGCTGTTATCTTTATGTACATAGACCACCACGTCTTCTCCTATGGAGTGGCTGGTGGGTTCAAACTCCCGATCTTTCCAGCTAAATGTTTAACCACTGCTTCCACCAGCACATTATTGTTGTTGGTTGCCATGGAGCTGATTAGGAATCATGGTGTCACTATGAACAGCAGACAGAAACCTTGACTGATCCTGGGCCATCCTGACAATCTCTGCCAGGCTTGAGCCCATTGCCAGAGTCACTGTGTCAATCCATCTCACTGAGGGCCTTTCTTTCACTGACTCTCTACTTTTCCAAGCATAACTTTTTTTTTCCCAAGGAGTGACACCTATTGTATGTGACATGAAGTTTAGCTATCATTACCACTAAGATGCACCCTGGTTGCACTTCTTCCAAAATATATGTTAGTTCTTTTGGCAGCCCATGGAATATTTCACATTCTTCACCAACACCACAACTCTGTTCTCCCCTCTTCCTTACTTAGTCATTGTCCAACTTACACATGCATGTGAAGCAATTTGAAATACCATGGCTTGGCTCAAACAGATACACCTTAATCTTTAAACTTACACCCTTAATCTTTAGCACTTTCAAAAGACTCTTGACAACAGATTTGCCCAATGTAACGTATCTTTTGCTTTCTTGACTGTCGCTATCAAGGGTATTGATTGAGATCCTGGAAAACGTCAATCTTTTCTATCTCCATCATGATGTTGCCTATTTGTCCAGCTGTTCTGTTTGTGATTGTGTGTGTGGGGTGTGTGTGTGTGCTTGTGCGTGTGTTTTAAGTCAAGATGTAATCCGTATCGGGGGTTGTGGTCATTGATCTTAGACAAGTACTTCAAGTTCTATTCATTTTCTGCAAGCAAGGTTGTGTCATCTGCATAATACAGGTTGGTGATGAGTCTTTTTCCAATCCCAATGCCACATTTCCCTTCATATTATCCAACTTTTCAGATTACTTGTTCAACATACATATTGAATAAATATAGAGAAAGGATACAGCCCTGACACACATTTTTCCTTATTTTAAATCTTGAAATATCTCTTTGTTCTGTTTAAATAGTTGTTTCTTAGTCTACGTGCAGGTTCCGGATGAGCACAATTAGGTGATTTGGAATTTTCACTCTTCTAAATGTTTCTCACCATTAATTATGACCCACACAATTGGATGTCTGCATAGTCAATAAAACTCACGTAAACATCTTTCTGGTATTCTGTGCTTTCAGCCAAGCTCCATCAGGCATTAGCAATGATATCCCTTGTTTGGGTCCATAACTGATACAGTTATTATTGTTTTAATTTGGTAGACAGGACTCCAGACTCTAGTCTCACCAATTTCAGTCTCCATGGAGATTTGTGAACAGCCCAGACCTTCTGGAACAGGAGATGGGAATGACTTTCCTCATGGGTTTGAACTCTTTGATACCCTGACTAGGTTTTTTGTGGCCATGGGCCTCAGTTTCCAGTACTTCAAGAAGCAAAGGTCTTTCTTTGCTGAGAAAGGGCGCTGAGAGAGACAAGCTAAGTGAGGGCGGCATCTGTGCCAAAAGTGTGTAGGCTGAGAGTGGAGCGCGGTTGTGTTCAATCTTTACCGCATTTAAAATGCTTCCGGCACGAGAGCATAGATTCAAGGTGCTGCCGGTGACTCTGTCTGTCCCTGTCACTCTGTCTGTCCCTGCTCTGAGGTGGCGGCTGTCCAGGTGTCTGGAAAGTAGCTTTTGGCAACCAAACCCCGGCACTGACGTGAGAGAGGCGGAGTTCAGGAAGGGGATGTGGTCTCCGAACAAAGAGGAAGGCTGGGAGAGGTTGTCCCGAAAGGCTCCATGGCAAGGACTGTCCTGGGTCGCTTACCCCAGCTCGGGGCGACTTTTCTGACTTTGGCATGGAGTAGGCGTCCCCGTTTCTGCGCCCTGGGGACCCGCCCAGGCCACGGATGCAGTGGTCCCAAGACTTCAGTTCCCACCATCCGCGGTCTACAGGGGGGCGGAGCCCTCTCGCAGGGGTGGGGCCGTCAAATTGAATTCACCCAATGGAATCTGCGGGTGGGCGGGGCAGGGCCGAGGGTTGGCCAGGCGGCGGCGCGGGGCGGAGCCGACGGGGCTGCTGGCGCCGCTGGACGGGCGGCGTTCACACAGTTCCCGGGACGGTTGCTGAGCGGGCCTGGCATCCCGGCTCGCCGCGCCTCCCGCCTCTCCGTCCCTCGTCCATCTGTCCGGTCGCAAGCGAGCTACCCCAAGACCGCGCCAGGCGGGCGGGCAGGACTGAGAGGTGGGTGTGAGGGCCTCGGGGTTGGCATCGAGACACCCCGACGGGTCTGGGGGTGGAATCCGGATATCTGGACCGGAGTTCTGGATCTTCTAGACCTGGAAGTCCTCATTCCCTCCTTGTACTCTACGTGGTGGACTGACGTTCTCAGGCCGCAGGGGAGGACGCCTACGGAGTTCCAAGAGGCCCCACACTATCCCTCGGGGCGCTAGACTGTGGGGCAAGTTCCCTGGGCAAATTCCCACCGTCGCTTGAGTTTTCCAGGGGACCGACTCAAGAGGGCAGCACAGGGATCTCCCGAGGAAGAAGGAACTTCCTAGTCTCCCAGACGTCCCAGATTAATAAATAGGGATCCCTGCCCCTCAGAAGATGTGGGGGAACTCAGAGCAATATTTTGGGGAAGGGTTATTCCAGACAAAGTGGCTAAATAGGACACACGGTCTCCAAGGGAGAGAAGTACTGGATACCCTTCCTAGTGGATGGCTAGGGAACGATTATTCACTCCCTTGACCAGGCAGGGTGCACTGCACCCCAATTGTGTGGATCAGGAGTCTCCACAGACTCGATCACCAAAGGGGATGACTTGCCAAAGGACCATCCTCAAGAGGGGTGACTGAGGGATGAGTCAACAGGAATGAGGGGCCACTCCGGGGCCAGCTCAGTCACCAGTTGTTAACTAAGCATCTATGATGTATTGGGCTGTCATTGTTAGGTGCCATCCAATTGGCTCCGACTCACAGTGACTCTGTGACCAACGACAGAACCAACCCTGACAGGATCTTGTGCCAACCTCACACTTTGCCATGCTTGCTTCTCTCCTTACTGACATGTCAGAGTCAGCTCATAGCTCGGGACCTTCTGCTGGTTTTCTAAGACTCAGCTTAGAGACTTCCAAATTCTAGAAAGACATTAGGGCTGCAAAAGGAAGGAGAGAGGTGTGCTGGGGGACAAGGCCAAGATTCAGAGGTGGCCCACTTTTGATGGGTAGGGATGAGGGGGTTATCCTGGGTCCCTGCATGCCCTTTGGAAGAGCCCTTCAGAAGCTTCTAGGCTTCAAGGTTTCAATTACATTTTTTCCTGCCCTCTGGGAACATCTGGGATCTTTGATCCCCTTTCCCGTGTGACAAATCTCTTGACATACTCCCAGTCTTTTGCTTTGCTTGTCTGATGTCTCGATATTGGACAAGTCAGCTTCTAAGAAGAATCTCTCCCTCTGAGGAGTTGGATTCTAAGTGTGTGAACTGTCAGGAGGAGCAGGCTGCCGGGACACCTGACTTTATGAAGAAGGTTGACACGTGTTCTACGTGGTGTGAGCAGAACGGGCTGATGCCAAATATCAGAAGACAGGGTGTCATCTCCAGTGGCTTAAGCCACCTGGGGAAGTTGGGAGTGGCAGCAGCCAGGAGTTGGACATGGATTTAATTTTTAGATTGGGTGGGAGCTGCGCACACCCATAGGTGGGTGGAGCAGGAAAACTGCAGAGCCTGATGGGCACCCCCTGGTGGCAAGCAGGGCTTGGGTGGACCTTGTTGGGCTCCAACTTGTTACAAGTCCCTGCTCTTCTTTGATACTCAGTTGAAATGAGAGGCCAGCCCAATAACACAGGCTGCCAGCAGGGATCCCTGGCAAGCACACACATACACACTTAACACACCCCTACTCTTGGTTTGGTGAATTTTCCAAGTGAACCCACACTTGGGCAGAGGGCAACTTCCTAAGGAGGCGCCCCATTATGGACAAGATAACAACCAGTGTAAATGGTCAGAGGAAGGGAAGACAGCTCAACTGAGAGTGATTTCTAGAGGCCACAGGAGGCCTGACCCCTGTCTGTCCTTCACAGAACCCCCTGAGCTGGTGTCAAGTGCCACAGAGGCCCTGGGGACCTCACCAGAAGGAGACACACGAAGTTTACAGCCAGTGAGATGGCGGACGATGCTTTGGCTGGCCTGGATGAGGGAGCCCTGCGGAAGCTGGTAAGTGGCCCCATCGTGACTAGAGAGGCAGAACCAGTCCAGGCTCCCTCTCAGCTGGCAGGAGCGGGTGAGGGGGCCAGGGGGAGGGAAAGGGACAGAGGTTGGCCTGTTCTGCCTGGCCGATTCGGAGGCCCCCATGGTATGTGCCTGCCTTTGCCAGGTGCTAAGATCCAGCCCTCCTGGCCCCCCACTGCCACCACCTGTTTAAACAGTAACTGCTGGGGACCAACCTGGGTGCCGCTACAGGTGTGGGGAGGCCAGGATGCCACACCTGAACAGCAATCTGGGCAGTGAAATGGTAATAATGCCACGGGGAGGCGGGGGGGGGAGAATGAGGGGGCAGGTCTGGTGCTGGGCATACCACTGCACAGCTGGCCACAGTGGCCCCAGAGCCTGAAGGACGCTACGCTCACGGGCAAAATCACCTGTTCAAGAAAATTACTAGGAAGAGGCTGCACAGGATCGAACCTCAGAGCCACTTCGGGGACTACAAGGTGTGAGGGGGCAGAATGTGCTGACAGCAGAGAAACTGGGGCCCGTGCCTGGAGCAGGAAGGGCAGGTTACAAGCAGCCTAGCCAGGACACCCAGCTCAGAGCCCAGGAGGTCACAGGGGATGGGTAGTCAACAGAGACAGGTCTTGAGGACCCTTCTAAGCTCTGAGACTTTGGGCCTACCATTAGTCCCTCTCTGAGCCTCAGTTTCTTTACCTGTAAAGTGGGGAGGAGGGAAATTGTGAACACAAATAAGGTCCAGAGCTGGCTTGGATTAGAATGAGGCATAGGCACAGGTCTTTTGGGGGAAGCAGGATGGGCCCACCCAGTGTCTTCCTCTTAGTGGGTGGACCAGCAGTGAAGGGCGGGGCAGTGCCGTGGGCACCAGGTCTATTTGCACTGTTAGCGGCTGAACAGGAAGCCCAGCAGCTCGTGAGTGGACACCCTCCTGAAGGTGGAGCCTCGGCAGGCCCCTTGTGTGCGATCACAGTGGGGGCCATGCAGAGAGAGGCTGTGGGACAATAAAGGTTCCCCAGGGGCAGCTGTCCAGAGGGAGGGGCCAGAGCACCACCTCAGAGCCCCAGACTTCAGTCCAAGGAGGGAATTCAAGATTTACCTTCCCCGGAAAAGGCTGACCTACCCACCACTGGAAACAGAAGCTGGACCCAGGGTCAGCTGCTGTCTGATCGCTGGTGGGTCCCCATTTTTGACTCGCTGAGTGTCTGCTGCCACTTATGGCCAACTGTGTGCACCTCGGGAGGGATGGGGTTATTAGAAGCAGAAGGTTCTAAACGAGGACATTAGACATAGAGACAGCCGGACTTGACCCCGCTCACCCTGGTTCACCAGCCAAGTGTTTGGGGGCTAGAAACGAGTTCCAGAGAAAACTTAGGCATGGGGGAGAAGGTTGAGGGGGACTGTGGTCGACCAGTGCTTTTCTCTGAAGTCTACCCACCTCTACCAACATCCCTTCTCTGGAAAACCAGGCTCTGGCCCTGACACCATCAGTCTGGGGAACCCAAAGACTCTTCTTCTGCTGGTCATTGGACATTACTGACCCCTGGCTGGCCTCAGGGCAGGGACTGGAGCGTCCCCACCCCTCCCCGCAGGGCCTGGTCTTATTAGGGTAGGCTGAGCCCACTGCGCTGGCCCCATCCCCCGGGGTAGGGACCTCTTGATCCCGCACCTGCCTACGGACACGTGGCTGATGGCAGCACGGGGAGCCCCCCACTGCTTTCATCCACGGCTTTGGTCCTGACATTCCTTAGCTGGGTGACCTGCAGAAGTCACTCAGATGCCCCGGACCTCACTTTCCTCTCTGTGGAGACGGGGACCACGGGGTGGCTGAGGGCCTGGATCCACTCTGGCTTCTTCTGCAGCGCCCAGCGCGGGCGGAGTGGGCGAGGCTCGGGCGGCGCCCGGGAAGAGGGGGCGTGCGGCCCTTCAGCGCCCCCTGGCGAGGTCAGGAGGCAACGCCTGGACAGCCCCTTCCTGTTGTACTGGAGGGGAAACTGAGGCCCAGAGAAACACGAGCGGGGACATCTGCGGGAGGCTCCGTTCAGCGAGGGGAGAAAGTATCTGGAGGCCTGGCCCCCTAGGAAACGTTTCTGGCCTCCCTGGAGGATTTCACTTGGCAGTTTCGGAAACCACCCCATCCTCTTCCCCTTCCCCCCAGTGGACAATGGCCCTTTGTACTTCCTCGGCCACCCAGCCCCCTCCGTACACCGAGGTAGGGCCAAGGGGGTGGGGACGGAAGAACACAGTGGGGGACACCGTGGGTGGACCTTTGCCTCCCGCCCACAAGGAAAGGTCACGTGGGAGGCTGATCAATGGGGGAGGGGAAATTGCCCACACACCCCACCTTCACCCCCAACCAGCTACAGCTTCTAGATCCAGCTGCAGCTTCTAGTTTCCCAGAGGGTGACAGGGAAGCTCCCAGGGATTGTAGAAGTGACCAGGCCCCCAAATCAGCCCCTTCCCTTTGCTAAATGGCTTAGTTGGGCCCAGGGCAGAAAACTGTGGAAGAAAGTGATTTACAGCCTCTGAAAATCCACTGGGGGATCAGCTATGAGTCAGTCTGAGTCTACAGCAACAAGGGTTATTTTTAGGCCCAGGGCACCTCAGTACAGGTCCCCAACACAGGCTCCCAAGGTGGCCAACAAAGTTGTCCCCAGCCCAGGACCAACCCTTCAAATCTGGGTTCAAGCCCTGGCTCCCGTATTCTCCATCCAGGACACCTAAGGCAAATCATCTCCCTTCATTTTTGGTTTCCTCCGCTGTCAAAGGGAGTAATAAATTCCCCCTTCCTGGGGATTTTGTGAGCTCAGGACATGAGGGGGTTCAGCACGGCGTCTGACCCCCTGCAACTTGGTGCTCAGTAAATGGTATGAATGCCTCTGGGAAGCCCATTCTTCTTGTCACCCTCACTTCCCCTGCCTGGAACCAAGTGAAGAGGTGGTACTGAGGCATCCCAGCTATTCAAGGGGCCCTGAGTCATTGTCCCTGCTGCCACCCACTGCCATTGTCCCCATGTGGCACAGAGAGGTACTCCAGACCACCCACCCAGGACTGGACTGGAGCTGGAGCCAGCCAAGGTTCCGCTTTCACATCAGGGAACCCCCTCCTCACATCCCTAGGAATGCAGAACCACAGTGACCCAGGGAGGTCTCTGTCCCTCTAGGACTCTGTCCACTGTCTTTAGAGTGGGTGGGACAGGCAACCTCATACCTGGGTTAGGCTGATCCAAACTTCTACTGAAACCTCTCTCAGAGATGGGCATTGACCTGCTGAATGGCCATCTGGCTGGTGAGCACACCAGAGACTGACTTATTTCTGTCCCAACTGGGGTCCCTTTATCCCTTCTCTTTCCCTTAAGCCACCAGAGGCTGTGAAGCAGCTCTGCCAGATGGGGAGGCAATGAGATTAGCCGAGCCCTGGTCTGTAGGGAGTTGCACTGCTAACCCCAAAGTTGGTGCCTCTCCAGCGGTTCGTGGTCCCCCAGGAGAAAGATAAAATGGGCAATCTCCTCTCATGCGATTTACAGCCCCCAGAAACGTGCTGGAAGGTGAACCATAAGTTCATTCCAACTCAGCAGCAGCGAGTTGAGTTGCTTTTCTCCAGGCCTGGCCGGACCAGCCAGCACCAATTTCCCAGAGACGGAGGGCTGAGAAGCAGATGAGAATGCCCATCTCCCACAGACATCCTTTCTAAGCCCCGAATGCCAGCTAACTCCATCCAGGACTTCAGTCCCTTTGATGGTGGTTAAGTCCAAGCTAGTCACAGAGGGAAGCATAACCCCACTAAGACTCCTAACCTTCTCCTCCAGTCTTCATCTTGGTCCTGCCCTGCCTCAGTTTGGCCCTATGTCCAGTGTAGATGGACAGGCCAGAGGTGCTTTGGATCTAGGGCTGTGGAAGTCCCTCTTGCTTACAGCTTGGACTCCTGTTGCCCAGGCCACATCCTTCGCTCCCCAGGGACACTGTCAGGTGCTCACAGGGTGCCCCCCCTCCAGCTGTGTCTCTCTGGCTCTTGGGGGTCTGATAATAGAGACATGGGGAGCAGGCAGAGGTATCCCACCATGATAGCTGTACAGTGGATGATGGGAATGCCTGGCACCATGAACTAGGTCTCTCCCCAACCTCTAGGTAGGCGGGCAGGCACGTGAAGGGCCTGGCACCGAGGGAGTGGAGACAGGCCCCTCATTGTGCCCCAGGCAGAGAGCTGTGGGCAGCTGGTGCCAGTCCTCCACCCCTGGCAGCCGAAATGACCTGGCCCCTCAACCCTGCCCACCCTCACGCAGCTGGAGGTCACCGCGGATCTGGCAGAGCGGCGACGCATCCGCTCAGCCATCCGCGAGCTGCAGCGACAGGAGCTGGAGCGCGAGGAAGAGGCGCTGGCATCCAAGCGTTTCCGCTCCGAGCGGCAGGACAACAAGGAGAACTGGCTGCAGTGAGTGGTGGGGTGCTGGACACGCCTGGGGGTGAGGGTGGAGGTGGTGTGTGTGCGCCAGGCAGGCAGGAGCATGCATCCCTGTTCTCGTGTCTGTCACCAGTCACTGTCCATCTGGCGGGCCATGCACACTTTTGGAATCTGCGCGAATGAGTATGGGCTGGAATTGAGCTATGCTCTTGTGAACAGTACTTTGAATGTGTGGTGTGAGTGCCCAGGGCCACAGTGTGTAGCTGGAGGGTCTTGGCCCCCAACCTCTGCCTCTGGCAACCCCGGTGCCCTAACCACGTCAGCGGTGGTCACAAACACTGTTCCCCCAGCTCGCAGCAGCGGGAGGCCGAGCAGCGGGCGGCCCTGGCTCGGCTGGCGGGGCAGCTGGAGTCCATCAACGATGTGGAGGAACTGACCACGCTGGTGAGGCTCGGTCCCGGGCAGCGGGGGGTAGGGCAAGCCAGGTCAGTGGAGACCCCAGACCCTCTCCAGCTCCATGCCGCCTGACCCCCGGCCTGCTTCTCACCCACAGCTTCGAGGTGCCGCAGAATATGAGGAACGCAAGCTGATCCGAGCCGCCATCCGCCGGGTGCGCGCCCAAGAGATTGAAGGTAGGAGCTTGACCTGGTCACCCCTGTCTTGTGGCCACAGCTCCTCCCAGCTGCCTGACACTTGCTCCTTCCCTCCAGCCGTCACCTTGGCCGGGAGACTGTGCAGCGGGCGTCCCCTTGGTGGTTCGAGAGAGGACAGCAAGGGACGGGCAGCACACAGGCTGGAACGGACTGCAGGCAACGTAAGAGGACGGCTGCCGCTGGACTGAGGGGGCTCTCAGCCTGGCTTAGGGGTTCCCTAGGGCATTCTCTCAGGCCTCTGCTCCCTCTCCCAGGCACCCTCTAATCATATTCCCCTGCCCCAGACCCTCCTAGCTTCTTGCTGAGTGTTTCTTTCCAAGCCAGCCCGCCCGTCTGTGCTGCTTCCAGGTTCAGGTCCTGCACCCCATGGCCTTTTTCCTTCTCCCAGAGGACTATGTCAGCCCCTCAGCTGACCTCCCCACCCCTGCCTGTGCTCTCACTGTACCCCTACCCTCCAGTCAGCAATCAGATGGATCTCCCTGAATTGCAAATCTGACCCTGCTTAACCCAATTTGGAAGGTTGCCTTCCGCCTCCAGACACAGGGCTCATCCTTTCCTGGGCTTCCTGGGTCTGCGTCAGGCCCCAGCTGCCCGTGGAGCACAGGCCACTGAGTCTGTTCTCCAGGGAAAGGCCTGACCCTGCAGAGGGGTGAAGGGCCAACCTGAGCCTTGAGTAATCCAGATCATTCCCGAAATGGCCAGCAGAGGCCGCTGGGCCCTAGTCCTGACAAGAGCCCTCCTTTACCTGGGATTGAACAGACTGAGGCCAAGGGTCAGGGGCCTGGGGGCAGGGATCTATTAAAGCTAGGACCTGTCCCCTTTGAAGGTGTTCTGCTGTCCCCTAACCTTGGACCTAGAAAATCAGGTCCTCCCTGAGCTGTTCCTGGCTCAGCAGTGTCAGGAGATGGGAACACTGAGTTCAAAGGCTGCACAGAGCGTGCCAGCGCCCATGTCTGTGCAGGTGTGCCCGCAGGAAGTCGTGCACAGCCCCTCTGCTTTGCATGCCCTGCCCTGGGTGCCTGCTGGCCTGGCTCTCAATGAACAGGTGGAACACTCGAGGCTTGGGGAGCACGGGTCACATTCTACGCACTGCACACAGGTTCCAGAGCGAGAGGAACAGAAGCAGCCGATAGGGGTCCCAGAACCAGCTCCAGCCCCTGAGGGGACCAACCAGGATGTGACCACAGTGACCCTCCTGCTGCAGGCCCCTCCTGAGGACCCATCCAGCTCGCCAACTTTACCCAACAGCTCGCCCTGCACTTCCTCCCCTGAACCTCCGCTGGAGCCTCCTAAGACCCCATGCCCTGCTACTGAGGCTCTGGGCAGCCCGGAGCCCCCCAGCTCACCTGGGGACACCAGCCCCAAGCCTCTGGAGCCACTAGACCCACCCACCACTGAGAGGCAGGTCAACAAGGTGAGTTTGGACAAGGGGCAGGGATACCAAGCAAGTGAGCAAGTTGGGGGTGGGGGAGTCAGGGCCTGCCTATACCATGTTCCCCTGCAGCTTCTGCCTGAACCACAAGAGCCCGCTCCTGCCCAGGAACCCACCAAAGGTGCCTTCAACTCAAAGAGAACAGGTGAGGGTCCTGCCAGGGGTAGCTGGCTCCAGACAATTGCCTTCCCTCCCCTGGCATCCCTGTTCCTGCCTGGCCAAGGGTTTGGGCAGCCCTGTGTTTGAGCAGCCCCAGCCTCCTCAGGTCCAGGCAGTCCCCGACACTCCCCACACTGCCCCTGAGGTGTCCCTGGCCAGGCCCACCCCCCACCCCCACCCAGGGCCGGAGGCCTCCCCACAGCCTTGAAAGGCAACAGGCCTCAGACACATTCTTCTCCCCAATAAGGGAGCACACCCATCTCCTGGCTGGAGCCGTGGGCAGCACTGGCCAGGGGGGGCGTCCCCCGGCCCCATCAACCAGGACGATCTGGGCACCCTCCCTCCAGCCCACACCTCGTCCTGGCCCCAGAGTGTCTAGATCATCCTGGAGTCAGTGGGGAGGGGGTTCCCTGGAAGAGATGCCCCTAGATGGGGAGGCTAGAGAGTATGGGGAGTCCAGGAGGAGTTGGGGGTACAGGAGGATGTGCAGGGAGAGCATGAACCCCCTCCAGATGAGCCCTTCCTTCTATTTTCCTTTTTCTCCCCCCACCTGGACACCACCCCCACCCCAACCTGCCAGACCTGTCTGGACCCCGTCCCTGCCAGCGCTCTGTGTCCATGCTCAGCCCCCGCCAGCCGGCCCAGAACCGAGGTACGGCCCACTCCCACTCCCCTCCCCCACTCCCCCAGGCCCCTGACAGTCCCGGGCCCACCCCACAACTGACTACTCTCCTGTCCCTTGTAGAGTCCACCCCGGTAACCAGTGGACCTTCCCCATTCCAGCGGGCTGGCTCGGTGAGGGACCGCGTCCGCAAGTTCACATCCGACTCTCCCATGGCTGCCAGGCTCCAGGACGGCCCACCCCGAGTGGCCCTCAGCACCCCCAGCCCTGCAAGGATCCCAGGCCCCTCCCTACTCAGCACCACCCCTGCCTCCTCCTCAAGGGTCCCCAGTGACGCCTCCTCTTCACACACCAAGGAGCCATCAGGAGCAGCCAGGCCCCTGGCGCAGCTTCAACTTCGGAGCTGCCCCCGGGAGGAGGGCCCCAGGGGGCGGGGCTTGGCGGCCAGGCCCCTTGAAAACGGAGCAGGGGGGCCCACCACCCACTCAGAGGAGCCCAGTGTCCCGCTGCCCGTGGCCGCCGGCACTGCCGAGCCAGGGGGCAGCATGAAGACCACCTTCACTATCGAGATCAAGGATGGCCGTGGCCAGGCCTCCACGGGCCGGGTACTGCTGCCCACCAGCGGCCAGAGGGCAGGTAGGCCTCCTCACTGGCTGCCACTGACTGGCAAAGTGTTCGCAGCCACCCTCTTCTGCACGGAGGACGGGATACTGCAACCGGGGCTCAGGGGGTCTCCAAAGGGGGCACTGAGGTCAAGTTTGGCCTGGGGCTGGCCCTTCCATCACCCTCCCATACTGACAATGACCCCTCTCTCCCCTAGAAGTGACACTGGGGCTGCGGGCGCCCCCTACCCTCCTCAGCACTAGCAGTGGGGGCACAAGCACTGTCACCCATGTCAGTGGCCCTGGGACCCTCACCCGTCTGGGAAGCATCACTCATGTCACCAGCTTCAGCCATGCCTCTCCTGGTGGCCGGGGAGGTTGCAGCATTAAGGTGAGCACCCCCTCGCCCCACTGGGCCTGTCTCACCATCCGTCACTCTCAGACCGCTCAGGAACATGGGGTTGGCCGAGTTCCCCTACTCCTCTCCTCCCCCGGTGCACAGCCAGGGAAACTGAGGCCCAGAATGGGAAGGTGGTGGCAAAGCAAAGGCCAGACTGCAGAATATCAAGCACCTGGCATGTCAGAAACTCACCCTGGAAGGATCTCCAGTCCTTCCTCCAAAACTTGTTAGTTTATTCTTATTAAACAGACAGGGAAACTGAGGCACAAGCAAGCGTACCTCCTGCTATGGCTGCCCCGTGGCCCCTGCTCCTACCGTACAGCAGACATGGGCTCCAAAGAGCTGCTCATCTGCTCATCAGGGTCGCCCTGGCCCTTCAGGAGAGTGAGAGATACTGATCAACACCTCCGACAGCGTCCCTGTGGTGGTTGGACAGGCGCACTGAAGGGGGACGGGCAGGGGCTGCCGGTTAGGGGAGGCAGCCTAGCAGGTGCCAGGGGGAACTGAATCCGCAGCACCCTTCCATTATTCATTCCCGAGCCTGGGATCAGCTGGTGGGGAGCTCAGCCGGGGAAGGGGATGCCAGTGGCCAACCAGCTGCCCAGGTAATACCTTCTCTGTGGCACTGGGAGCTGAATAGGACACTGGCCGCGCTGGGATGGCCGGAGCATTGGGCTTTCTCAGGAGCAGCAAAGAAAGGGTAGGTAAGGAGGGCACCCTTTTCTTCCAGAAAGTGGAACCCAACTAGGCAAGAAGGGAGATTGAGCCCCTTGGGGTGGATGTGAGGTGTCTTAGTGAGTCCTGGGTCTCACACTACTGATGCACCTCAGTTTCCCCTCTGAAAGGCAGGGAAAAGCAGAAGGCCTGACTATCTATCGGCCCTTCTCTCTGCTTGGAGGTGAGAACCACAGACAGGCCAGGGAACACATTGCCAAGGACATGAAGCGAGTCCTGACTCTGTGTCCTGCTTGTGGGCAGCACTTTCTCCAGCAGTTGGGCAAAGTAGCCAGGCAGTGGGATCCCCCACAGCTAACGCGTATCGTCTTGGCTCAGGCAGGCGCCCCACCTGTGGACAGGTCATCCTTCAGAACCTGCCAAGTCTTGTGGAGCTTCTGTGTTCTCTGGCAGGGCCAGGTCTGGCCCTCTGCCTGTTTGGGCTGGCCACCCCTCCCCCACAAGGCCCCTCCACAGGGGAGCCCAGAATAGGTTTCTATTTGGGCCTGAGCCCCAGCTGGCTGCCCCCAGCTGACTGGGAGGCCAGCAGGGGCGGGGCAGGCCGGCTGCCCTTGCATTCGCCCTCCGGCCAACTGCAAAGCCTGAGGCAGCAGTCCCTGCCTCTGTCCCCTCTACCACCCTTACGCAGTCCCTGCCACCACCATGCCAGGGGTACCCGGGCCCGGGTCTGAGCTGGCGGCAGCCCTTGAGGGCCAGCTGGGCCGGGCACTGGAAGAGCTGCAGGCAGTGGCCGAGGCAGGCCGGGCAGTGGTGGTCCAGGCAGCCGAGGCTGCTATCGCAGCCGTGGAGCCAGTGGCCCGGGCAGCGGAAGACCTGCGGGCGGAGACAGCAGCCCTGGGCCGGAGGCTGGATGCACTGGTCAGGCAGGTGGAGGTGCTGAGCTTGCGGCTGGGGGTCCCGCTGGTATCTGACCTCGAGCCGGAGCTGGAACCCAGCGAGCTGCTCCTAGCAGCAGCAGACCCCGAGGCCCTCTTCCAGGCGGCTGAGGATGCGGGGACCCCTGTGGCCCACCCGCCTGCATTCAGCTCCTGCCGCCGCTCCTCTGCCAGCCTTGCCCGCAGCAACAGCGTCCTCGTAAGTCCCTCCACACTGGGGGAGGGGTGGAGCAGAGCAGGCTCTGTCCCTTGCTGAGTGACTTCCGGTGTGCCACCACCTTCTTGGAGCCTCAGTTTACCTCTCCATCCCAGGAGAGGCTCCAAGACTGGGGAGTGAGGGTGCCAAGCTCCGAGCCCTCTGTCGTGTGTGGCAGCTGCCCTGGTAACCCCTGGCCACGGCCCAGCCCCCCAGCCCCACCTCTGCCCCGGCGGGAGCCAAGCCTCCCTAGACAGCTGTCATATCGGCTCTCCTTACTGCAGAGGCGGTTGGGCCGAGAGAGCCTGCCAGGAAGGAGGGGCGGGGCATTGAGAGTTGGGCCAGGGGCTTGTCCACAGGGGCAGGGGCCAGTGCACAGGGTGAGACCAGGCACTAGACTGAAGCGACAGGCCTTTCAGAGGATGAATTCCAGCCGGGATGGGCACAGGGGGAGATGAGAGAGGACTTAGGTCTGGCGCAGCTACCGCTAGACACCTGGTCAGGAGCCTACAGGCTCTTGGCCAGGCCCCTTGGCTGTGGGAGTGGGGAACATGTGCAGCCTGGGCACTGGCCCAGGAGGACCCAGGTTCAGAAACACGCGGGACAGTACAGAGCCTGCCTGGAAGAGGCTGGAGTGAAACATCAGAAGAAACAGAGATTCAGGAGTTGGGCTCTGTCAGTTCTGACGCTTAAGGCCCAAGTTTATAGTGAAGCTCAGGGCAAGTCACTTGGCTGCCCAAGCCTCAGTTTTCCCTTCTGTTAAATGGTGTTCTTAGATGTCATTAAGTTGGTTTCGAATCATACAGACTCTATGCACAACCCCTGTCCAGCCCTGCACTGTCTTCACAATTGTCCACTTTGTCACTGGGTCAATCCATCTCCTTGAGGGTCTTCCTCTTTCTAGATGAACCTCTACAATGGGCCCTGATAACATGTTCAAAGTCCCAGGATATGAAGTCTTGCACCCTTGCTTCTAAGGAGTACTCTGGCTGAACTTCTAAGACAGATTTGTTTGTCCTTCTGAGAGTCCATAGTATATTCAATATTTGTTGCCAACACCATAAGTCAAAGGCATCAATTCTTCTTCTGTCTTTCTTACTCACTGGGCAATTTTAAATACCATGGCTTGGGTATTTTTTTAAATAGTTTTCAAGTAAATAGCATGTCACATCTGGTCTCCAAAGTGACATCTTTGTGACATCTCTCAAGAGATCTTTTATAGTGGATTTGCCAAATGAAATACATTGTTTCATTTTTTTCCCCTTAGCTTTTTAGAATTTTATATTTTTTTAAAAATGCATTCATTGTTGCACATTTTCTTCTTTCTCCTTCTCTTCCCCCTCCCCTAGGCCAACCCACACTCTTATTTCAGATTGTTGTCATACATATAATGCCTAATCATATATTCCCTTCAGACACTCCTTCCCTTCATCTGTTCCAATGCCATGTTCATTATCTATCCATCTTCTCCCACCCACCCCCGTGTCTGTCTTATATAACAACAGTGTTATGCAGTATTTGTCCTTTTGTGATGGAGATATTTCACTCAGCATAATGTCCTCCAGACTTCCCCATATTGTGTAATGTTTTACAAGTTCATTGTTTTTCAATGCTGCATAATATTCCATTATGAGAATGTACCATAGTTTTTCTATCTATTTATTCCTCGATGGGCACGTTGTTTGATTTCTTGATCCTGATTGTGGATCTAAGTAAAATTAAATTCTTGATAAGCTTATTATTGTCTCTATTGATCGTGCTATAGCTTATTGGTCTCATGGTAAGGAATTTTACTTTCTGCTGGGGTTTAATCCAGTCTGAAGGCTATATAATCTTTGCACTTCATCAGTAAGTATTTCGAGTCCTCTTATAGCAAGTAAAGTTTCAAGTAATCTGCATAATATTGTAGGTTATTGATGAGTTTTTCTTTAACACTGATGCCTCGTTCTTGTTCTTATAATCCACCTTCTCCGATAAAGCAGACAAATTGAAGAAGGGTTCAACCTCGACACACAACTTTCTCGATTTTAAACCATACAGCATCTTTTTATTCTAACCACTCCCTCTGGGAACAGGTTCTACAAGTGCATGATTAAGTGTCCTGGAATTTCCATCCTTTGCTATGTTATCCATAATTTCTTATGATCCACACAGTCAAATGCCTTTGCATCATCTATAGAACACAGGTAAACATTTTTCCGGTATTGTCTCCTTTCAGCCAAGAGACATAGGACATCAGCAATGTTTTTCTCTTGTTCCACATCCTCTTCTGAATCTGGCTTGAATTTCTGGTTCACTGGTGAAAAAAATGCTGTAATCATGATTATATTAACGATATTGTTTGATCATTTCTGCTTTCTGTTGGATAGCCTTTCTTTGAATGTTAAGTGTTGAGAGGTACCATCAAGTCAGCTGTAACTCATAGCAGCTTTGTGCACAAGAAACCTATCTTCACAGTCTCCAGCATGCTTACATTAAGCCTGCTGTTGCAGTCACTGTGTCAATCCATCTTGTTGAGATCTGTCTTCTCCTTTGCTGACCCTTCGCCTTTCCAAGCATGGTGTCCTTCTCCAAGGTCTGGTCCCTCTTGATAACAAGAGCAAAATATGTGAGACAGAGTTTGACTATCCTTGCCTCTTATTAATTTTTAAATATTTTAATTGTGATTTTTAATGAAAGTTTACAGAAAATTAGATTTTCATTCATTCACTGTTGCACATTTTCCTCCATCCCTTCCCTCAGTTCACTGTCTTTTTACATTCATTGTTGCACAATTTTCTCTCTCCCTTACCCTTCCTCCTCCAGTCCACTTTGCATTGTGCCTCTTAATTCTGAACCATGCAAGCAAGATTTTACTGAAGATTATCCAAAAACGACTGGAACAGCACATCGACAGAGAACTACCAGAAGTCCAGGCTGGTTTCAGAAGGGGTCGTGGTACTAGAGATATTGTAGCTGATGTTAGATGGATCTTGGCTGAAAGCAGGGAATA